GATATGCTTTAGGTACCAAATAAGATTACTGCTTGGAAGATAGTGCATTTATCTTTCACATGAAATAACCCAGGAGAATGTCAGATGCAAAATGATTTTTGAAATCTTGGCATTTACTGCTGCTTTATACTGTCTGTGTGCACCTTTAGTCAATAGCAGTGACATTACTGTGTGAGTCCCTCCAACTGAAGGGAATTGGCACCCTATTAAAACTCTCTTTTTGCAAAGCTGAACTGGAAATATGTTACTATGCAGCTCTGTGTTTATCTCCTGAAAAGCGGTGATCAGAATCATGGCTGCTACCAGCCAGGAAAGATTTTCTCCTTGTCAGTTTATTCCTTCCTATAGCTTATCCTTTGTTTGGTGTTACCTGGCCACTGATGTCCTCCTCATTCCTTTCACAACAGGCTCTTTCTGCTTTGGCTTTTGTCCTCTGTAAATGCAGCCCTGCCAAATCTCTGGGATGAGCTCCCTTCCGTGCTTGGCTGTTGCAGCATCAGCATCTCACATCCTTGTGGATCAGTGCTTCCGCCTCTCTGCTCCAGCAACGTGGGTGCTGCTGGCAGAGCAGCATGCGGAGAGCATGGGGCCCTGGGCAGCAGGAGACTGTGGCTGGAGACAGTGGATGCAGCATGGAAGTGGGTGATGCTCTGCAGCACCTACAGATTTGCAGCCCTGATGATCTGTTACTGTCACCTGGTCTTCGGGAGGCTGGGTGCTTGTGCCTCGCTGCAGGTGGGTTATCTATCAGCTTTGCATCATTGTCTGCTGAAATTAATTGCTAGGAAGGCTTGATGGTGTTTTCAGAGAGATGGACCTAGTTTTCAGCCTTATTTCCTCTTGCTTAGGATGGTCATCGCAGGGTCACCTCTGAGAAGCATATATACAACACACATAGTTTTCACATCTGGCCATTCTTCCTAAAGATCAAACCTGACTCTGTGCTGCTATATGCAAAATACTATACATAAAGCCAAAAAATGGGACATTACATAGCTGTAAATGTTCTCATCCTGGTGTCTTCCCATTCAGGCAGTAAAAATGTGAGAACCATGGAGATTCAGAAGCAGAGGTCTGTGGCAAGACTGAGGGTCTCCTGATGATAGCCATGGACAATGGTCACTTCTGGAACTAGCTGTTCTTAGTGGCAGAGTTTATTAGGGCAATATATGTCTCCTAAATTATGCTGCTCACTTTGTACCCCAGGTCTGCCAAGCAAGCTGCTCAGATGGGAGCTTTACAATTTCTGCTGTTTCAAGTCAAAATGAAGTTATCTTACTTGACTGAGGCAGGACAGAGTGCAAAGCACTCACCTGGCAGACCCAGAGATCGTTTGGAGGCCAGAAGAGAGCAGCTGGGAGGACAGTCTCTGCTTCTGGCATTCTGTTGTGGTTTAATCCCAGCTGGCAACTAAGCCCCATGCAGCTGCTCTCTCATTCCTGTGGAACAGGGGAGAGAATTGAAAGGGTAAAAGTAAGAAAATTCCTGGGTTGAGATAAAGACAGGTTAATAGGTAAAACAAAAACTACACACACAAGCAATGCCAGACAAGGAATTCAGGTGTTCAGCCATCCCCAAGACAGCAGGGATGTCACACGTAACAGTGACTTGGGAAGACAAATGCCATCACTCCCAACATCCCTCCTTCTCCATCAGCTTCCCATGCCAAGCATGACGCCACATGGTCTGGGATATGCCCAGGGTCAGTCAGGGTCAGCTGTCCTGCTGTCCTCCCAACCCCTGGGGCACCCCCAGCCTTCTCACTGGTGGGGTTGGGTGAGGAGCAGAAAAGACCTTGACCCTGTGTAAGCGCTGCTCAGCAGTAAGGAACATCCCTGTGTTATCTGCACTGTTCTTGGCACAGATCCAAACCATCGCCCCATGCCAGCTCCTGTGGAGAAAATTAACTCTATCCCAGCCCAAACCAGTGTGCAGCCAGATGAGAATGTTCAGCCACAATAATTGTAAGGGATGTGCATGAATCCATGCAAGATTGATTAAAACTGATTAAGGAATTGTACCTGGGGGCCATTCCAAAGTTGAATGAAGTCAGTGGAGAAGTCTTTTTCACTGCATTCTCTGGCATTAGATTAAAGCTCCATAACACCCCATTGTGAAATAATTTGGTTAGCAGAAAGAATGGAGAGATTTAATGTACCAAAGATTAGAGAACTAAATGGGATTCCAGGTGATGGATTCAGTTTCTGGCTCTCCACAGATGTACTGCTTGACATTGCCCAAGTTCATCAGTAACTCTTAGGACATCCCTTCCTAGTATAAACAGGTATGACAGTGTGAATAATTTCTCTCCCATTTTTATCAGTGAGGGAGATGTGTGAATGGCTGTGTGGTTCTGAGTTACCAGCTGGGCTTAAACCATCACAGTGGATCATTCCTGCTCCGTATTCAGCTCCATGAATGCTACCTTCCTCTTTTCATACTGAGCTTATTGGAAGATTGACAGCTGTATGTCGCATTACTCTTGTCTGTGAAATGGATTATTTTCCTCAATAGGCTGAGATGAGATCAGAATAAGGGAAACAAAATTAGTTAAAAAAAACTAGTCAGTGGTATGGTCTTTTTTTATGAGCAATGTACATATTCATAGATCGTAGCATAATAATTAAGGGGTTTTGATGTATTACAAAATGCTGAAGAAGTCTAATGATACTGCTTTATCTCTTCAAAGTTCAAATATAAATCCATGGTATCATTAAGTACAGCTTCACCTAAGTGTATATTTCAAAGTCCATGGGAAGTTTAATTTCTCAGCTTTCACTCTTTTAATTCAGCTAAAAAGTGCCTTCAGTAAGTGACCTGATAAATAATTTAAAAAAAAAAAAAAAAAGCACTTTTACACTGTAATCATGCCAGGAGGAATGAAAGAGTAGCTAAAGTGTCAGAGGTTATAAACTGCAGCAAAGGTATTAGCATCTTGGTGAAGAAGTCTGTGTCAGAGAGAGAAGCGAGGTCTCCTGGCAAGATACTGACTCTTTCTAATTAGTTAAAAGATTCATACAGGCAGTAAAAATGGGCCAGTTTATTGATTTTTTTTTTTTTTGTCACATTCCAGCATGACAATAGTTTTGCTCATTTACCTTGTGTGTTCCTGAGCCTTGGTTGATCTTGGCTTCAGCTTGCATAACAAAGCAGTCCGTGTGCTGTTTGTCCCCAGCACCTCCTCCACTTGAGATTTTAAAGGGTGAAATGACTAAAAATGCTGCTAGTTTTGTCATGGAATCAACTAGGTTGGAAAACACCTTTAACATCATCAAGTCCAACCATTACTTCAGGATTGCCAAATCCACCACTAACCGAACCGTGTCATTAGGGCCTCATCTACATGCCTTTTGTGCACTTCCAGGAACAGTGATTCCACCACTGCCCTGCGCAGTCTGTTCCAATGCCTGATTATCATTTTGGTGAAGAAATTTTTCCTAATATCCATCTAACCCCCCCCCCCCCGGTGCAGCTTAAGGCGTTTCGTCTTGTCCTATTGCTTGTTCCTTGGAAGAAGAAACCAGCCACCTCCTGGCTTCATCCTCCTTTCAGACAGTTGTAGAGAGCAGTAAGGTTTCCCCTGAGGTTCTGTTCTCCAGACTAAATACCCCCAGTTCCCCCAGCCGTTCCCCATCACACTTGTGCTCCAGGCCCTTCACCAGCTTCGTTGCCCTTCTTTGGACTCACTCCAGCACCTCAGTTTCTCTTGTAATGAGGGACCCAGAACTGAACACAGGATTTGAGGTGTGGCCTCACCAGTGTTGTTGTTCCTGTGTGACACCTACTTCCGATTTGCTTCTTTTAAAGGTTACAAGACAATCTAATTGTCAGCTCTGCATAATGGGTAAAGACCTGAAAGCAGAGCTGAGTGCTTTGGTGGCTTTGACATCAATGTCAAAGATGATGACTCCATTGCAGGAGCTGACCAGAACCTGGCACTTCTCAGCTGCTCTGACCTGGGGGGAGGATGCTGAGGAGACACTAACTGCTATGGTGAGGGTCTCCTGAGGAAGAATATTTCCTGTGACTGTCTGGACATTGCTCGTGTGTCTGGGTTATGAGCTTTTTGCCACCATGTTGCTCGGCATTTGCAGCCTGTATCGTGGTTGCCTTAACAAAACTGGGTCCTCTTGTGAATCTGAGCAAAATCCACAAGTAGATTATATTCTGCATGGAGCTATTCTGAGATACTTAAAAGCAAATAAAAAGCTGCACAGGGAAACTAAAAATAACACTACCCCAAGCTGTAGAAAGCATGGATGTGCCACATCAGAAGCAGAGCTAGGGAAGAGAGATTTCACCTGGTTCAGTTCAAGGCAGCTTGGTTAAACTGGTGTTAGTGATGGTGTGGAAACGTGCGGTGGATTTGAAACCGGCTTCTTCCAGCTTAACGCAGGTGCTGTAACCGCCGGGATGAGCCGCTCTTGTGCCCACTCAAGTTAAACTGTCACAGCCGTGCGGGCAGCGCTGGGCCGAGCATCGGCAGAGGAGCGGGAGCAGGGTTCCGGGGCTCTGCTCGGGGATGCCGCGCACGCTGCTCTAGCGTGGGGCTATTCCAGTGCCGCCTATCCTGACCTGAGCCTTGCGAGACTTGTTTTGAAGGTACCGATTGCTCCTTACGCTTCTGCAGCGCTTTGCTGAAGCTCCTTCCGTTTTTCAGGACGTTTCCCGGCCGAGACGGGGCCAATGTGCTTGGCCCCGAGGGTCTCTTACCGGTGCCGGTGGCCGCTTTTCTGCCAGTGCTGTACGGGACACTAGGGACTTTGGCACTGGCATTTCTTCCCCGCAAAGCGCGGTGCGGAGCGCGGTTGGCGGGGGCCCGCGGCTGTGCCGGGCCGGGGCACTGCGCGGGCAGCGGCGTGAGGCGGCCGCCAGGGGGAGCTGCAGTGTCTCGCTGTGCGGAGCGGGCGCACCTGCCGCGTGCGGAGCCGTCGGCGGCGGCACGGGGGGCAGCGCGGGCAGCGCCGTCCCGTCCGGTCCCGCTGCGCTCCGCTCGCAGCGGCCCCGCCGCAACTCGACGGGCGGCAGCGCCTGCTCGTTCCCCGCCGCGGCGGGAAGCCGCGCTCCGCGCAGACGGGCGGCCCGTGCCACCCCCGCACCAACACCGCCGGCCGCAGCTTCCGCCGCCTCAGCGGACGGGGCCGTGCCGGCAATGGAGACCTAGCGGGGAGCCGCCGGGAGGTAAGCCCTGCACGCCGCAGTGTCCTCAGCCCACCGAAACTGCACATTTCTCCTCAAAACCTGAAAAGTTGGGGTGCAAGGAGCGTCCTCTCGGGGTCGCCCCCGCCGCGCGCGGGACGGGGCTGAGGGGCCGCTGCCGACATGTCCCTCCCTCAGCGCTGGGGCAGCGGTGCCGAGGGGGCACGCGGCGGGACCCTCTGCTGCCGGTTGCTCCTGAGGGGCTCCGGCAAGGACCGGCCGCAGCTCCCGCTCTCCGTCCCGGGCAGGCGGTGTTCCGTGCGGGTCGCGTTCCCTCAGAGCTGCGGTCCGGGTTGGCGCGGCGGCCCCGGAGCCGTGCCGGTGTCCGAGGTGTTTTCCCTCAGGAAGGGAGGTCTCGGTTAGCACTGAGGGGCTCTCACTGAGCGCCGCGGACGGGAGAAGTGTTCCTGCCGGGATTCAAAAGGCGAGGACTCGGTTTTTGGGATGTCGCAGTTCAATGGAGCCTGTTGAAAAGGTGCCGGTTCTTTGGAGGCTTGGCTACGCTGAGGTACTGCGAAGGTGTCCTGAATGCTGGGTGAGTCGGGAGTCTCCATCTGCCTCCCAAAGCTCTGTGGCAGGGAGGCTTCTCTGGTTTCGTTTGGGGTCTGCCGTAAACCTGCTAAAAGGCACAAAACCTCTCAAGAGCTTCATTAAGCAGCTGTTTTCAAAGAGCCTGTCCTTGGACTGTTGTCTGTGCTAAGAATCAAAGAATCCAAAGTTTCTGGTGGAAAATGCTGTGAGCTGCAGTTTCTCGAAGTTCTCGGTAAGGTCTGTGTGCTCGGGACTGCCTCTTACCTGCTGGGTTAACACCCAAACTTGGGCTTGTTCTGGGAGGAAAATCCCATCGTGGCAGGAGCTGGCGCTTTCTCATGCTCCTCTGCAGTGCTTGTACTTTCTTGGCTTTATTCTGGTTATTTAAAAAATCATATTTTTATAGGGTGGGTGTGGGGGTTTTGGCTGTTAGGTTATTGCCATCAGAGTGCACGTAGTTTTGGGGTTTCTCAGGGAATAGTTAGAGGTCAGCGCAAGACAAAGAGCAGCTGCTGGTACAGGAGCAGGGAAGGGCTGTTTTGGGGTGTCCAGGCATTGTGAGTGCGGTTGCAGTCATGCCTGAGAGAGGCACTCGCCCCGAAGGCTTGCTGTTGGTGCTTGAAAGGAGACGTTATCTCTTAGCAAGGATATAACTGTGCCACTGCCTGGCAGTCTGTTCTATCTGCCAAGTACCTCAGCTGTAAGGGCTGGTGACTTGCCTGCCTGGCTTCTATGTAGTGCATGGGAAGGGGCTTCCCTCCGAAGGAAGGAGCAGCCAGCTTTGAGGAGGACGTGGTGGCTGAAAAGCTTGGCTCATGCCAGACCTGAGGCAGGAGGTAAGTCTGGGGAGGAAGCTGACAGTGAGTCAAGTTCTTCATTTGCAGTGGACAAGTGGCTAATGAGGAGATGGACAGGCTGGGATTTGAGGTTTTGGGCTCTGTAAGCCAGTGGAATATAATGCATGTGAAGTGAATGCAAGAAGTGAAGTCTTCTGGCAGTTCACTGAGGCACAGGCAGTGATCTTCAGGATTTGATGAGTCTATGGTTAAGCAGGGATTGTAACTGGGGATGTGCAGGATAGCTTTCCAAGAAATTACTAAGGATTGTGTCCTTCTGAGGGTAATTCCTTGTGCATGGGAGACCTCTTGCAGCAGGAGGATGGGGGCATGCACTGACCTCCCTGTGAAGCACTATAGTGTTGCTAGGCAGCAGCTTGCACCTCCGGTGTGTTCCAGATCTGTCTGTGAGGGGAGACCTTCCTCTATGGAACTAAAGCTTTCTAGCTGGTGTCCAAGGATGCTGGAAAGCATATATCCTGCCTGTGTGGGTGTACATGCACGTCTGGCCTGCTTCTGGGTACTGCAGAGGGGTGCTCAGATGGGAATGTTCAGGGATGTTAGTTGAGAGCAAGACTTCCTTATCCTCACCGCCCTGATTGGGCTGCAGGTGAGCAGAAGAGAGATGAATCCTTGGTTGTGCCATTTGAGAGGCTCAGGAGTTCTCTGCAGGCCACCTTTTTACTTTCACAGCACCTGGAAGCTCATGGGATGTTTGTCTTCAAATCACCAGTCAAGTTGATGATTGATGCTTTAGCAGTAAAATGGGGGGAAGGGAGGAAGACTTGCTTGCATAGGAGGTAAGAAAAAAGCCCAGGTGTGCCACATTGATGTACTTAGCCAACTTCAGTCAGCTGTAGTGGTTGCCACACAATTGCAGGAGCCCCTGTGCATACGTGGCATCAGCTGGCTTTGTCTGAACTGCCTGGTATCTCGCAGAGCAGAGTGGTGGAAAGCCTTTTAATCTGCAGGGCTGCCAGTCTAGTGGCTGCACTTTGAAGCAGTGCAGTAGCCAAAGCTGTTGGAAACCAGTGTGGGGGGACTGGCTGCTCTCCAAACAGAAGTCAGATCAAGAAAGAGCCTGAGAGGGTCAGGAAGGATTCATAGGCTGCTGGGGAGAAGGGGGGAGCTCAGCAGAAAGTATTCTTGTGGCACGGGTCACTTCTGATCAGGCAGGGTCTGGAGGTGTGAGAAAAGTGGGAGGAGGCGATGGCTTCCTGGTGTGGTGGAGACTGGAGGCCTGGGCCTTAGAAGAAGCTGGACTTTGCAGCCTTAAGCCCAGAGGAGTGAGGAAGCAGAGGCAGGTAGGAGCATGTATGCTGGGCTAAGAATCTCGTGGGCACTGTTCCTTGCTGCTGTATGATAAGCTTGAGCTATGGAGAGTCCAGAGGTATGGAGCAGCTGCTGTGTATGGAGGCAGTGTGTGTATGATGAGCCCAGCATCATGCATAGGCTGGTACAGAGCAAGGAGAGCAAATTGGGCAACATGTAAGGCCCACACCTCTTGGGATGCTCTGCCTGCTTAGGAGCATGCAGGGGAGGCTTTCTGGGTGGGATAGGTCTGTGAAGGGATTTGGTTTGTTTGCAGACAGTAATTTGTTCCCTGACTGTCCGCAGCTGTTTCCTGTAGAGAGAAGGGTACATGTTACAATTACCCAGTTAAAGCTACAGAGAGTAGTTTTTTTTTCTAAGTGGCATTTGGAAGAGAGAGGTTGTTTGGTCCAAATCTTGTCTGTCTTATGTTGAGATGCCCTTGTGGGACTGGAGGTGGAGAAGTTCCAAGGAGTGTTTCTGTGCCTTATGTAGGCAGCTATCTCTGCTGGCTGAGGTGGGCAGCTGCCAGGCGTGGCTGAGGGAAAAGAGCTGAAAATGTGTACTAACAATAAGAAGTACAAATAAAGCATTTATAATGTATGGACTTTCCCTGTTCTCCAAAACATTCAGGCTCTGAGTAATCTCTCACTTAAAACTGAGGCTCAAGCTGAAAATATCAAGGGATGTTAAATCGTGAACAACTATTAAACAGCCTTAAAGGGCTGTATGGGAAACCGTGTCTGCTCTCTGTTTCTAAGCCTTCCTCAAACAATTTGAATCTGAGCTGTTTATCAGGAGGTCTTTCATGCTGGAAAGGGAAGTGAACATTTAAACTCTATCACAAAATAAAGAGCCATTTTAGGAGGCTGTTTGCTTTTCAGGGTGTCCAACTAAAAATAAATCTTCCTTTAAACAGCCTTGAAAAGAAGACAAAGGGAAGATATCTTGCCCTTGCTGAAAATAATGAGAATCTTTTTGCTAGCTTTGATGGTCTGGGTTTCCTCCAGCATCTGGTACTTGACCTAGGTAAGTGCCCTTCGGATTCAGTGGAGGACTGAGAGGTGTGTTATGTTCAGTGCCAAAGCTGGTGGGGGAAAGACTGCATGTTAGGAAGTTCTGCAGGGCTTGTTCTTCCACCCCTCTTTGCACTGTTTTATGTATCACTAAAACCAACAAGGATGTCTATTTGGTAGAGCAGTACCAGGGCACATAAAATATTTATTTTAATTTGGTTTTTGGCCTGAATCAGAACAAACCTCATTGTTTACAAGATTTCTACAAAATTCCTGAAAGTAATATTCTAGAAGCAGTTTCTCATGATTCTCAAATTCTGACGGGTTTGCTTGCTTAATTAAATTCTTCTTTTCATCCAGGCAAATTTAGCAAAATACATATCAATAAAGGCTAGTCCCTGGTTGTGAAAGGGAAAAAAATTCTCATCAGGAATATCTTTATCACTTTAAGGTAGTATGAGATGGTGCTGAGTACGTTGAAAGCAAACTGCGTTTGCTGACAGCTAAGTGCCCAGTCTTGCTTCTCTGGAACCACGTTTTCTAAGTGGAAAACTGTGGAAGGGTGTTTTGTAAGAACTGTAACAGCTGGTATGTCATCTTTTTCTGTTAATTCTGCCTTCTTTGAGCATTATGTATTAGTTAGGGAAGCATGTGGCTGGGAATGAGATCAAGGAATGCAATTCTAAGGACATCGCATGCGGAGTTGTGTTCTCTGTGCTTGTTCCATTAACATGCAGGAGTGAATGTGGACTCGGTTTGCCATGAATAGTGCAAATATTGTTATTGGGTAAATACTGCAGAGGTATGAACGTATACAGGAGCAGATATAAAGTCAATACAGCTGACACTTGTAACAACTGCAGTCCATCTTCTATGTGCTCCCGGAAGGAGGGCTGTTTTAAGATGCTGTAAAAGCAGTTTCTCTATAAAAGCAGGGAACATTTCAGCATGCAGATGGCAGCTCAGTCTAAATTCTAGTTCTGTTTTGTTCTGAGCACCTTTGTAACAAGCCTTGAGGAACATAAGGGGAATGAGGAAAGCACTGTGAGGGGAAAAGAAGGGATACGCTATCTTTCAGGCCTGAGAACTCTTTTTGAACTGTCTCTTCATTTTTAATAGCTTTTCTACAAAAGCTGCTTGGGAAGCAAGGTTGGTATGAGTATGAAAGAAGCAAAGTATCTATCTTTTGGCTTAATAAATCTCTTGGATAGGCTGGTGCGAATTGAACTTACTTCCTTATTGGTTTAAGAGTGGGGAGTTTTGAAATTGCTGTGGGTGAGAATTGCCTTCACGTCTCTTTTAATCTGAAATGCTTTCTCCTTTTGTGGTTGAGGCTCTGTAGGGGAGACTTCTGATCACTTACAAGGTCATCTAAAGCACTAGAAAAAGGCCATGACCTCAGCAGTGGTGGTTGCTCTGGGTGTTGGCGACTAAAGAGCTGGACTCGGATGAAGCCGCGTTTTTTTTTCTGTAATTTACAGGGTTTATCAGTGACTCTGAAGCTGAAGAGTTCTCATCAGCAACTTGCCTTTCTGCCCAGGAGTGCTGAACAGCAAGCAGGATCCAGAGTCCTTTCCCCCTGAGCAGAGCTTCTCCACAGCCAGGGTGCGCTGGCTGTGGTGCGTTTGGGAGAGTAGCCCCTGAGTTCTTTTCAGCCCAGAAGCTGCCTGCCCTCCTGGGACAGTGCTCAGTGGCCTTCTTGATTTAGGAAGCATGCTGGTCATGTGTGCCTGGGGCTTCTCTTTCCTCTCTGGTGGCTGTAATTACTGCTGTGGCTTACTCTGCTTTGGCAACTGTCTTGCTCTCACTGCATCAGTTCTGGGACTTAGGCTGATTTAAGCCGATTCTTAAAATCACTCTCCCCAGTACAAGTGTACACGTTTAGCTTTCCAAGTGTAGACTGTCTTCATGTTTTCTTCTCATCCCCCAGCTGGCTTTTTTATAATCTTTAAGTGCTTCTACAAAGTGCTAAGAGGCTAAGCCCCACTCTAAACCTGAACTCCTTGGATCTGACAGTCTTTACATTGCCTATGGTACTTCATGTTGCCTGAAGTCATGTATTGATTAAACCACAATCTGCAGGAGTAAATATATGTAGAATATTAATAGCCTCTACTCTAGGGAGACAAAAAGGCTGTAAATTAATAGACCCATCGTGTTGACCTCGTAAACCATGAGGTCTTGAAGTACAGCTGTAATCCTCCTCCCACAACATGTATTTCACTTTGAGTGTCTGTAAAAAGCCTGGACTACTCAAATTTAAAACCTGTGATACTGGACAAGCGTATCCATATATCCTAGGATGTGTAGTTAGAATATTGCAAAGTTCAGGCTGGAACAATAGCTCTCTGTAGAACCCCGGGTAGTGCTGAATCAGTGCATCATTGATGGCGCAGCTGGGCATGAGGCTTAAAAAATAAATTTTAACTTCCCTGCTTCTTTGTTGTTCCTCCTTGCAGTTGCTTTCTGCTTCCAAGTGCAGGAGTTGCTGCAACAAGAGAGGAATATGATTCAGGGATTTAAAATCCAATTTGAAGATATAATGAACTTGAATTCTGTGTAAGTTGCTTTAGGAAATCAAGGTCAGAGTGTGGTGTGAGCTGATAGTACTTGATCTGCTAATTGGTGCTGAGTGGTTCTAATTCTTTTGGTTCATGGATCTGTTAAGATGGGCTGCTCAGTTTTTTTGTTGCATTTTCTTAGTAGAGATTTAGATGAGTGCCTGTATCGTATGCTTATCAGTAACACCTCTCATTAGCACTTTCAGTCCATAGATATTGGAATTTTATCTCTATTTGGAATATTTCAGGAGATTTTTCCATTTCCCTGCTCTTCACTTTTTGTGTGAGCACTGGTTTAGGCACTGTTGGATTGGAAAGTTCTTGCAGGCAAAGGTGCTTGCATTAATGCTTGCAGAGTTTTCTCTCTACAGGGCAAACTAGCAGTTTACTCAGTCTTGAGTCTGATTACCGCTTTATCATGACTAAAGTAACTTCTCTTTGCAGCCAGAAATGCTAATGGGAGAAGTTATTGTTTGGATGCCATCACAGTATTTTTCTTCTGTGTCTACCACTGAAGCCCACTTTTTTTTTTTTTGGTGTTACACTGTAAGATGCCTTTTGAAGGTTTGAGATGCTGCTCCTGGTATCTTCCATGATTGCTATTTGGAAAATAATAAACTTTTTAATTGAAACCTTTACAATCTTTCAAGCAAAATCTCAGTGTTGACACCTATGGGGTGGTGCTTGTGGTGTTCTTTTAAGTTTCTGAATTTACTCCCTTCATATAACGAAAGATCTGTGAGTTTTGCAGGTGGTTCCTTTTCTTTCACACCCAGACGTGCAGCTTTTAGAGGAATCACTGCGATTGGTGTTGTGACCATGTCAGGTGCTCTCTATATTTAGTTATGGTTTCTTTTCCTTCCTCAGGACAATACCTTGGTCTTTCCTTGTTGTGTTGCTGTCACGTAGCTAATACTGTTAAGCCAATAATAATCCCAGACATTTTAGATGTTGTCTCATTGTTGGTGGTTACTCTCAGTTTGCACAATGCCAGCACTGCCAGGTTCCCTCTGTGTTTACCTCACTTTTACATTTCACATGGCATTTCAGATCAACAAGGAGAATGAGCCAGATGTGAACTTGGTTAAGGACCTGAGCCCAGTGGAGGCTCAAATCCAGCCAGACAAATGCTGAATGCACACTGCCTTGTAGAATTAATGTTCATTGTGTATTATGACAACTTAAGTGGCTGGTGAAGATGTACAGTGAATTAGGCAAAATGAAATATTCTGTGATGCTCATTGAGCAACAGAGCGAGGAACACTGCGTGACCCATATCAAGTAGAGCTGAAGATAATGTTATTTGGACTGGCATGCTTCTCTGCTCTTACATAGTTTTTGTTTGTATTTAAGGTATCTACAAAAAAGGGCTGGTGCCCATTGTGGATTGCTTCCATCCAGAATGTTGGATAGACTGAAAATTCTTTCAGTAATAAACAATTCCAAGTGCAGTGTGTTGGCAGAAGAAAAGACCCAAGAGAAAAGTTCATGTCAGAATTGAAAGCCTTGAAAAGTGGAGTGAGGAAATGGTTTGAAAAGAAATGAGCAGAAGTCCCCATCTAACAGACTGTAAAGACAATGAAAGAATTACTGTTGCCATTTCATCCTTCATGTATAGGGTAAAAACTGTAATTTATTTTTGTGAGACTTCTGAGCACCAAAACCTGACAATCGGAAACCACTAAAGAGGCGGCTGCTGTTTTTAATGAGCACCTTCTGCATTGCAGCTTCTGTGGAGAAACCAGAGCCTAAAGAGCCTCGTGGTGTGTCAGCAGATCTTGCACTGCACAGACGTATGCCTCAGTGCACGCATGCACCACTTCTCATTTCTTGCTTTCTCGTATACAGGAGCACGATATAAACAAAGCTTGTAGTAGAAATTACAGCAAAACTAAATTATGTTTAAAGGAGGAATTTGGGAATGTCAGTGCTGGGTTTTATGTAGAATATTAATGCTTCAGTTTCCTTGTTTCTGAGTGTCTCCTTCTCACGATGTCACTTGAAATACTTTTGAGTCAGGGAAGCTATATGAACTGAAGTGGGTGCTAGAAGGACAGTAAGCAGTACATGAACAAAATCGGACACCATTTCCCAAAGCCTGTTTTCTGAGGACTCAGAAGACAGAGCCAAGTTTGTCAACACAGGTGAAGGGCATTAGGCAGTATCTGAGAGTCAGAGTTTGTGTTGGAAAAACAGAATTTGTGCTGCATCACAGCCTGGTCTGCTTGTAATCACTGCATGCTTACAGCAGACTGGGAAAGCTGCCTGAATTCTGTGGTTTGTAGCATCAAGCAGTATGCGGAGGGAAGGGTTGGCCTTGTTAGCAGTGGAATGATGAAGGGTAAAGTTGTCACACCTTGTTTTTCCTGTATTTGTCCCTCTGATGGTAGCAACCTCCCTTTATTTACCTCAATACAAATGCAGCCTGGCAGGTCACAGCAAGGGCTGGATTAACTTGCTTAGTGATTCTTTCAGCATTCTCAAGCACTTTATTCTGTGTCTCTCTTCCATCTACTTGGTGATCTTGGGCAAGTTAACTGTAATTTGTATGTCTATATACTTATTAAGTAAGATGTCTCCTTCATTCTTCCGGGAATAGTCCTAAACTTGGTCCCCCTCCTGTGAGCTGTATGTAGTATAGTACTATTTTCTTGTTACAGCTGTGCGCCCCTACTCACAGCTGCTTGGAGTTGGCAGCACTGGAGTAAGCGGCTCCTCAGGGGAATGCAGCTCAGTGCCTCTGAGGAAAAGTTAGTCAACCCTGCTTGGAGGCAAATGCCTTGATTGTTAAAAAATGATACTGAATTCCAACTGGTTTATCCCGTCTCATGTCTCTTCAAGCTAGCATAGTTTTGTTCATGTTCTTCATCAGATCACAGATGCTCAGTTCCAGAAGTGCTGGTAGGTCTAGCACAGGGTTGACTCAAGTCTCGTCCATCCCACTGCCTGATAGGTGAGCGAATGGCCCGGAGGAGGGAGTTGAGAGCCTGGTCCTGCTGGGAGATGTGCTGGGATCCTTGGCAGGCTTAGCACCAGAAAACTCCTCCTGAGCGAACTTAGCAACTTTGTCCTAGGCACATAAGCTTTCCTCTTCTGTCTGCTTCACATTCTTCTGGGAGAAATAAATCTTGCACTGTGCCTTTCTCTCGTTGTCAAATTCTGTGTTTAAAAACAATCATCTGTGATATGGCAGTTTGAACAGTCTGGTTGCTTATAGCTGGGTGGTGTCTCAGGACAGCAACCACCTGACCCCTGGTCACAGTGGTGTGACTGATCCTACCTTCTCCTGGTTGGATGTCTGGGACAGTTAAGATGACACCTCAAACTGTTGTTTATTTTTATGGCAGTTGCAGTGGTGTTGTGTCAGATGTGACAAGCTGAGACTCTGGGCTAGGCTATGAATGACTGGGTGGTGAAGTAGTCTCTTGCCCTTTTCTTGTTGTATTTTCCCGATGTTTGCCGGTACAGAGACTGACTGTCTTGGTGAGGCCAGGGCTTCAAAAAGCAAAACTCCTATCAGTGCGGACAGGACCAAGAATTTTCCTCTCTTTCTAGCATTAATGTTGGCTGGCAGCACTTGCATTGACTTTTTAAGTGTATTTAATGCAGTATAGCTCTTTTGGGGTGGGGATGGAGGGACCCACATGAAAAAAGACCCAGGAGTTGCATACTTCAGCTGTAATAACCGAAGGGAAGAAAGTGGAGAAAGTAATTTGCAAAGCTACACTTGAAAATCATTCTAGCATAACATCATCATTACAATTATCTGTCACAAGATTTAGTTCAATTACTTTTAAGCTCTCTTGTCAAGATGGCCTGGCTTGTTTCAGGATTTTGGTACTCTAAGGAGAGGTTAAGGAACAATGAATATTAATTCTGCCATTAACTGCTGTCAGACAGCCTTCAGCTTTTATTATTCCTTGAAAACTCCTTTAGCATTGTAACTGTGGGGAATCAATAGGCATGAAATGCCCATGGGAACATAGAATTCAGGGTTGGAAAATCCACTGCCTATTTATAGCTTGTAGTATGGCCCGGTGGCGGGGGGGGGACACGAGGACGACGACTTTGGCTGGAAGTGGTAACTCTGAAATAACCGCATAGCAGCGCAGTTGCCACTGTGTGGAAAATTATCCAGAGCTCCTTGCGGTTTCTCCACAGAGCAGTAGTCTGGAAGTAAATTACAAAGGAAGAATATTTGTGTAATAAACTTAAATTTAACTGAATAATTTTAAGGGAGCTACAGGACATTGCACCCTCTTTCTATTTTATCACATCGAGCAAATGTTCAGAGCTGTAAGAGCCTGGGCTGGTCCCAAAGTTGAGGGGGCCTCTGGGCACGTGTATGTGGTGCAATATTTAAGGAATGATTCTGTTCTGTTGGCCTTTGTTTTGACTACTAATGCAGGTTGTTTTGTGCATTTCTGTCACTTTGAACCATTATGGTTTCCTACCTCTACATAAAAATGAACCCAGATGTTCTAGATTAAGCCATTGTCCCATAATGGTTCTTTGAGAAATGTTTAACTGTAGCTGCTGCTTTGTTCTGAAGAAGAGCTGTGATTCAGACTTCCTACTATGTTTGTGTTTCAGCTGTCACTGGAAGTGAAAGATGAAGCCTCTTTTTCTCTTGGTTCTTGTGATCTGTACTGTAGTCAGCATGGATTTGAAGCTCGTGTCAAAGAGGGATTCTGGTAAGTCACAGAAAAATATTTTTACTTTTGATTCTGGACTTAGTGCTCATGCAATCAAGCATTTTACATGCCTGCTTCTTGGTATGCAACAAGTTTGCATACTTGTTCTCTTCTGAAAAAAAACCCAGTCATAAGCAGTATGGTTTGCTTACCAGATGTTGCAGGATTAATTTTCTCACTATAACATTCTCTTGATGATTCAAACAGTTTAAAAAGTATCCTGTTTTCTTTCATTAAAAAAGAAAAATAAAAGGTTGATCTGCTTGAAATATCACAAAGGTGATAATGACTTCAGCATTGCTCTAATATAAAATCTCTGCTCATGCTAAGGGATTTTCTTAATTCTGGATGTGGTTTGTGGTGACTTTTAAGTCTGGATTATTTATTTATTTATTTATTTTTTTTTTGGTTGGAAGGGCATCTTCCAAAAAGTCATTCCAGCCATATGTGTGATCATATATATATATATATAGGGTTAGCTGGGAAGAGCGTTCCTGGGTAGAAAATGTCTGATTATTCTAGCAGTGGAAGAGAGTGGGAGTTAGTTTAGGTTTATATCTGCTTTTGAAACCCACTAATAGTAACAAGATACCCTAATGGTTATTTGAAGTATCTCCTTCTAGGATAGCCAGTTGAGCTGGATAATTTTTCATTTATATTAGAGCCTGAAGTGACTTCTAGTCCATGCAGCTCTCTCCCCTTAAAGGGAATGACTTCATGAGACTGCCTTTCTCAAGTAAGCTGCATGTTTGGGAGGACTTTTGGCAGACAAGTAGGTTAGAGGCAGTGTTGTATAGCAGTGTTAGTCTGCTAGAGCCTTGTGTATGTGGGCAGGTAACTGATGTACTTTTAAACTTGCATGTTAACTTTCTCATTCCCCCCCCCCCGTAGTGTTCTGTACATACAAGTGTAAGGGCTTCCATTGATCCTGCTGTCACAGTGTCTTTAGCCAACACTTCTAGCAGTGCAGGTGCAAGTAGAAATTACTGACTTCAATTGGTGTAGCCAGTTTTAAGTTTAATTTCTGCATTTCTTGAGAACAGAGGAGAAAAGTTACTGGTCCATCTTTTATAAAGCATTAGATGTCCCATCCCAGGCTAGAAGGTGTTACTCTGGAAATCACCAGGTGCTAGGTTGAATTCTTCTGCTGGGCTAGAAAGTATAAATGGATGTTGTTAAATTGAACTAGCCCACAGCAGTTTGGTTATTGTGCTCTAAGCCCTGTTTGTCCTGTGAGAGCAGTCACGGATATTGGGATTTGGCTACACTGAGCTTGGTCTAAACTCTGCTAAGGGCAATGGTGTTGCAATTTGAAGAACAGGTATTACTGGTGAGGGAACCCCTGTGAGATCCATCATCTGTATAACTAAGCAACCTTGATCCACTGATACCAGGCAACACCACCTGGCTGCAAAGAAGGGCCTTTTCATTTCCTGTATCATAAGTACACATCTGTAGAAGTAACGTGCCTGTGGTTATGGCATCTATCAGCTGGTAGTTTACCTTTAGTTATATTTTAGTTGGGTGCTTGTTTTGTGTTTTATCTGCTTTCCTTGCAGATTATCTTGTGTTATTGGCAGCTGTTGACAGTATCAATTCAGGTTGAGTACTGGTTGGAAAATGCTTTAATATGGTAGACTATCTATTGCTAAATAAACCCACTAGTGAATAACTGTTTTTTTTTCTCTTTTCATTTGATTGAGTTGGTATATGTTGAGTATAAGATAAAGGAGAAAAATGAACATAAAATTATAGCTTCTTTGTGAGTACATGGCCACATAGTTGGTTTTCACCTTCAATATTCTTTGTCATTCATGCTGATTTTTAGGTTGCTGTGTGGAGCAAACTATTGATTTCCTTTTTTTGCCTTTTCTTTTTCCATTACATTGTATGTGAAATGCATTTTCTGTTTCTGTGATTTCAGCACGTAAAGCAAAATTGATAATTTGATTCCCTTTCTGAAAGGAGACTTTAGATATGAAGGACTGTTGTTTGATTGCTTGGAGCTTCACCAAAATGTTATATGTTGTGAAGGGAACTTCTGAACTTTAACTATTTGCATTGTTAAGTAGGAGATCAGATAGTGGATGGATGCAGCCAGACAAATGCATGAAGAAACAGTGAGACCATGTTGCTCGGTAGGCTGACAGTATCTGTAGTGTGGTGATACTGTAGTTCAAAGATTGGGAAGGAGAAAGTAATTGGTTATTTGTGGGCAGCTGCACTGCAGTATGAGCAGCAGGAAGTCCAAAAGCAGGAAGACTGTTTTAGTGGTAGATGAGAGCCAGAGTGGGGGGTGGTAGGTGGGGTGCCTGAATGACACCCTGTGGGCAGGATCTCTGCAGCAGTGTTCTGGATGGATGTTGTAGTCTTAGCTTTTGCTGGCTGATATGAAGATGTCTAAGCTGGTGAGCATCTGTAAAAGGGGAAGGGAAATTGTGCAGACAGTTATGTAAGACTGTGTGAAGCAGTGCATGGAAAGCACTGACACTGATGATAAAGATGGATTTGGGCTTCTAGGGCAATAAACCATGAAAATCAGGGCATTGGTGTCTTTGCTGACTTATGTAGAGCGGCATTTTTCCAGCCAATATGTAGATTTGTGATTAGTGCTACAATTAGCCACAGTTGTGATCACTGTTAAGTAAAAGGGCAATTATACAGTTGACTAACGTGTACATAATATCATATAATAGAATATATATTGTTTAAGGGATAGAATCTAACGAGAGCTGAGTTGAAGAGGACTTGGACTGGAGCAGTCAGAGGGTATGGTGTAGTCTTCAGGTAGTGCAAAGGAATCGCTAAAACTGAGGCAGTCAAAAGTGGGGCAGAAAGTCCAGAGGGCATTATCAATGAAATTGAAGTTGCTTTAAAGAGAACAGAGGTTTGGCTAGGGAGGCATCTTCAGAGGCTGGTAGGACAATGCTCATTGAAAGCCAAGGGTTGGAAATGCAAGGGAACAAAGTTAAGGATGAGAACTCCAGACAGCAAATGAAGACCATACACAGGGATTGTCTGTGTACTGTCAGGCAAGAGCTGTTAGAGAAGTCAGGAGGGGAGGAGGATCTAAGATGTCAAACAGAAAGTGATGAAATGGTATTCCAGTTGAAAGCATAGTTGCAAGAATTCAAGTTTGCTGAAGAAACAATCCTCATGGAAGGGAAGAGAGAAAAACAGAACTGAAAGATTTGTCTCATGTCCTTTGCCTGCCCTCAGTTCTAGATTCAGGTGTCTGTATTTCTGTTTGGAGAAGATAAACAGGAATGCATGTGAGGGTTACAGACAGGTTTTGGAGTATCTTGCAATGCTGCAGAAGTGACACAAGCTTGTAGCAAGACAAATTCGTTTGGCTGCTTCTCACTTGAGATGTGATGCCAAAATAATTAAAATGGGAGAGCTAAGTTTATTATGCTAGTCAGAATCTTCTTTACAGGCAGTAACTTCCAGATGCTCCAGAAGAAATCTGTCATGTCTACAGAGTAATGATTGCTGTTTGTGGTGGGAACAGAACAGTTTGCCTCAAGCGTCTGTGTGAATGTTATGTTGACTTAAGTTTCACAGGCATTTCTTAATATTAAAAAGCTTTTTGAAAGCTGCAGGTTGTCCTTTTTAACTGCTTTAAGAAATAATAAGCTTCTGAGCAAAGAAGTAATGCTGGGACTGCAGCTTTAGCAATATCCTAGAAAGGTATTTTGCAGGTGGAGATTATACAAACAAATGGAGGTTGTGAGAGCTGCTAGGTTCCCAGCTGGTAGGTGATTTCCTTTTAATCTGATTAAGTGACTTCTTTCCTGAAGCCTTTTGTATATAGTGGTTTGAATAATCATAGCAGGGAATATAAAACCAATTAAAAACTGTTGCTTTTTTTAAGCAAAAGATTTTTCAGGTTATAGATTGACTTAATAACATAATTCCCTTAGTGAATAATTTATGCCATTTATTGTTGCTGTATTTATTTGCTGGGTTGAAATACCCTGTCAGCATGTTAGAGCTCTGGAGGGCATGCCAACCTTGGGTGGAGGAGCATAGGCAGACATCCCCAAGGCTTCTCCAAGGCTGCTAGTGATATTTTGTGCCTTTTAGATGTCATGCGACAACTTACTGTAGTCTGCTATAGGTATTTCAGGAGACCTTCCCTTTCCTGCTAGTTGTCACTGCTCTAGGCCAGGATTTCCCTCTGCTCCCTTCTATGAAGTTCAAACTTCCTGTATTGTTGCCTCATCACTTTGCCCATGAAAACTGTGACATATGTGGAGATGCTTATACATCAGAGGTGAGTCATGGATTTGTGCCTGGAGTGGGATATCGTAGAGAAGCCTAACTCTTGAAAGTCTGGTACTCCTGCTGGAATGGGCACCAGAAAAGCTTCACGATGAGCACTCACAGTTACCATTTGCTTTTTGTTTTCAATTGCATGTGCCTGAAGAGCTCGCTTCAGGCCCTGATGTGAAATGCATGGCTATGAGACCTCCCAGATTCTGAGATGAGAGATGCAAAAGAGACTTTCAGCTTTGACTTTCTGCAAATGATGTGCAGACAGAGAGCAAACAAGAGCTTGGCAACACTAATCAGTGCACACAGATCTCTTACTTTTCCCAGAAGATGTTGTTATTCACAGCTCCAGTAAACAAAGAGAGTCAGAAGCACCATTGTTCTAAGCTGTCATCGGTGCAGGGATGTACAGTCCCTCCTGCAAACAGTTGTGTCTGCTCACGACTTCACGGCTGCTCTCCATCTGTTCAGTTTGAATCAGGGGGAAGCAAAGAGCCAGGCTCCTGTGCTCAGTCAGGTCTCAGGGGGCTACCAGCAAGTAAGCTGTGAAGCACCAGTATTCCATGCACCTCATTATGGGAGTCTCAGCCTTGGTTTCCTTTCCTCTAAACAGAAAGCAGCATTGCAGCTAGACAGACCTATTTGCGAGACAGCTGGTTTGCTGGTGGGGAGGAAGGGAGATGCATAGAGAAGAACAGGAAAGGAAATAATAGAGGCTTGGGGTT